AATGAATTCCTGATAAGGAGACTTGGTGAACACAGTCTCTTTCCAGAGGTCGAGGGTCAGGTAGCTGTAGGTCTTAGAGATGGCATCAAAGTTGGTCTTGGCAAAGTTGCCCTGGGTGGCAGTGCAGCCCCTGGCTGATGTGTAGCAGTCATCAATGCCGGCCATCATCAGTAGCTTCTCGGACACAGGAGCAAAGACTATGCCAGTGCCTCTGGGGCAGGGATGAGATGCACCAGCACAGAACTACAGCAGTCTGTCACTTTGCATGGAACAGTGTGGGCCTCTCTATCCTGTTAATTGATAAAGTCTCAATTTTCCTTCTAGAATCATCTCAGAAAACTTTTCTACATAAGTCATAGGTCTTTGATTTTTTTTTACCCTGTTTCTGTGGGGGAAAAAAAACACTCTAAGACATTATCTTCTCTCTGAATTAAAATTCCTGTAGGGGACACAGAGAAGATAAAATGACCAGAATAACATCCAGCTGTGGCTCTGAACAATCTACATATGCATCCTCTAACTTCTTTTCTACTGAAGCCAGTGCTCTTAGCCTTAGCTGATAATATTCTTTGACTAGTTAAGGCCTTGTCACCTTGTAAGGTTTGAAATGAATTACTTAGTTCTTGAGTTGTCAATTTAATTGTGGGCTAGTTAACGTCTCCCAGCAAGTTTTGAAAGTCATTAAGAGCCACCTCTTCTGAATTGTACCTTTGGGGTTGAATTTTTTGTAAGCCTATCTTATATCCTAGGTAATTAATAGAATCTCCTCCTTGTATTTTTTCAGGAGAAATTTGTAATCCCCAACAAGGCAATTTTTTTAACTTCCTTAAACACTTTCTCTAAACTATTTACATTTGAATCAGCTAGCAAGATATCATCCATATAATGGTAAATTATTGAATGAGAAAACTGTGCATGGATCAGTGGCTATTGTACAAAATATTGGTACAGGGTATGGCTGTTTAACCTCCCCTTTGGGAAAATCCTCCACTGATATCTCTTAATAGGCTGAGAATTACTTTAAGTAGGCACTGTGAAGACAAATTTTTCTGTATCCCTTTCTTGTAAAGGTATAGTGAACAAGAAGTATTGTTGGTAGGCTGGAACTGTAGCAGGAAGGAATGAACCCCAAAGCTTAACAAACCCATGTGGGAGTTCATTAGGAAAGGGTGGGGGTGAAGGGAAGGTAGTCCACCCAGATAGGTGTTTGCCTGAATGCCAGTGGGCTGCCAGGGGATGGGATCAGAATAATGCTGGAATCCTAAGAGTCTTTTAAATCAGTAACTATAACAGACCATCCTTTAAGTAACAGAGAAGGCTTTCTGGGCTGCTGAGAGCACATTGGCTGAATTACTTTATTTACAGCTCTCAAACCTGTTAATATTCTCCATTTTCCAGACTTCTTTTTAATAACAAATAAAGGAAAATTTCAAGAACTAGTTGATTCTTCAATATGTTGAGTATTTAGTTGCTTCTGTACCAGATGTTCTAAGGCCTGTAATTTTTCTGATGTCAAAGGCTATTTTTTCCACCTAGTTAGCCATTTTAAAGGCAGGGCTATTAGTCCCTTTGAAAGTCCAGCAGCTGTTGTACCCTGTTCTTGTGTAGCCCAAATGGTTGGTGACTGCTCTTTACAATGTCTTTTAATACTTTTTCCAGAAAGACACATTAGCTCATGGTTTCTTACCCTGGAGGAATGTATCCCCATAAATTCACTGCTCTATTAACCACATGCAGCTTTAATTTTCTCTCTGCCCTCCTAGCCTTACACATTTGACCATCTTGTGTTTTACCTGAGATAAAGTTCCCACCCCTAAAAGCTGAACGTTTGTATACTGAAGAGGTCAATCTGAATGCCAAGACTCTGGCGCAATTATGTTACATCTGTCCCTGTGTCTACAAGACCTTCAATTACAATGTCCTTTATACATATTTTTAATGTTGATCTCTGATCATTTATAGGCATTTGCCAAAATATTTGCTTTATGATTTCTCCTGAAATTCATGTTTTATCTTCAACAGCTGTTCTCTCATCCAAAGCAGTATGTGTTTTGCTTTTGTTTTTTTTTTTTTGTTTTTGTCTTTTACAACAGGCATTAGGTCCTCTGATTGCTCCGGGGAGAAGTTGCCCCCACGGTGACAGGGAATAACTGAACCAAATTTAATATTGAGGCCCATGAGAGGCCCCCAAGGCATTTCCTGATGGCAAAGGACTACTTTGTCTGTCCCTTGTTGATCTGCATTCATTGGTCCAATGTCGGTCTTTGCTGTACCTTCTGCATACTCCAGAAGGCAAGGGCCTTGTTAGGATTAGAAGAAACATTGTTTCTAGGAAGGCCCTGTCTATAATCTCTTTTTAAGTGACCTTGTATGCCACAATGAAAACACATGACATTTTTTCTTCAAGCCTCTGGAAATCACCTGTCCTAGCCAATTATCATCATGGTTATGATATTCAATTTTGACTGTAAATTGGATCCATTCCTCTTTGGGTGCTGATCTTGCCTTTAAAGGCCTAATTATCCTTTTGTATTGTGAGTTAGCATTTTCAAAATCTAGAGATTCAATTATTATTTGTCTAGTTTTTTAATTTTGTATCATTCTATTTACAACAGAATTCAATCTTTGTAAAAAAACAAAACAAAACAGTGAAGGTTTCCTTTTAGCACTGTATGACCTCAGTAAATGACCTATTTCTCTTTCTTCTTCAATTCTATCCCAAGCATTCAAAGCTGCTTCATGGCATAAAGGCAAGGTGTGGTCATCATATAGAGACTATCTTTATACATCAGCATCATTTGCCTCTCCAAAAAGTTGGTCTTGGGAAATTTCAATACCTCTATCTCTACTTTGGTGTTCAATGGTCCTAGCCTTATCTTTCTACCAGGTCCTCTACTAAAATTGAAGACTAGTCTCCAATACTGCTGTAACAAAATCTTTCCAGTCTTGTGGGACAATTCTGTTACTAGTTGACCATGAATTTAACATCTGCTTCACAAAACGTGAACGCATGCCATATGGGACTCTCACTTATTTAAATCTCCTCAAAACTAACTTTACCACTCAGCTTTTACACTGTCTTAGAGATTCCTGTCATTTTGCAGTTGTTCCTATAAAGTGACTGGGTAAATAAAGGTTGCCTGTTTGAAAACCTCGGGCTGTTCCTCTCTAATTTTATAATGTAGTAGTGAGGTTGGTTCTCCTTTAAATCCCTCTGTCTTTGTCTGAATATCTCTATTATCTGTCTTAGAAACTTTTCCTAAGGCCTGTATCTTGGCACTCTGTGGTAACTCACAAGTGACTCAGTTTCCATCTGGAGTCCACTCTGGTTCTAAAGCCATTTGAGTGCAAGCTTGCCTGCTCTGCTTGTATCCTTGAGTGTCCCGCGCTACCTTCTCGCCAGCAAGAATGACGCGGGGCACTTAGGATACTTCTGCAGTAAAGCTTTAATGCCCCTTGGGAGAGCGAGCATCAGCCAACATGGCGGAGACCCAGAATGAGGGGAACCCAGCCCTTATAAAGGAAACAGTCCTCACTTCTGACGTGTCACTCTTGGATTGGTCCGCTGCCCATTATCCCAGGTGATGCCTCGGAAGTAGGCAGTAGAGAGTTACCAAGCACGTGCGCTGGGATTAAAGGCGTGTGCTACATCACCTTGAACTCACAGAGGTCTGCCTGTCTCTGCCTCCCAGGCATCGGGACCAAAGGCGTGTACTACCACGCCTTGAGGTTGCAGAGGTCAATCTGCCTCTGCCGCCTAGGCATCAGGACTAAAGGCATGTACCGCCACACCTTGAGGTCACAGAGGTCAATCTCTACCTTTGTTCCTAGAAGCAATGGAGAATGTGGTCCGGCCCTCCACACTTGAGGGCAGTTAGAAAGTTCTGAATAAGCCCATTGGAAAAAGAATTTTGTCCATGAGAAAAGAACACTGCTGCTGCCAAAAGTTAGGGCATGTCCAAATAAAGAAACTGCTTGCGTAAGGACAGGAATGGTCGTGTGGTCAGATACTGACTGACGGTGCTGTGCTGTGTTCTGCTTTTGCATATAAGCAGGCTGTGAAATAAACTTGGGACTGTCCTGAATCTATCTGTCCTGTGTTTTCTGCCTCAATTTCTCTCGATCTAACGTTTCTTTAGCCTCAGTGCCGCCTTCCAGGACCCCTGGCTGACTTTGTTGGGGCAGGCTCCAACATTGCTCATATCCATCAACATTTTTAGGGATAAAACAAGAATTACTAAACCAATAATGTTTATAGTTGACATTTTGCAAATCCTATTTAAGTTAATTTTCCCCTCATGATATAGGAAGGATCATCTGTCTATGTGTTACTTTCATTGGTTAATAAAGAAACTAGCTTGATAAGTCAGAACATAGGTGGGTGGAGTAGACAGAATAGAATGCTGGGAAGAAGGCAATGAGGCAGACGCCATGGAACCAGCCACCAGGTCAGACATGCTGAATCTTTCCCAGTAAGCCACCACCTCATGGTGCTACACAGATTATTAGAAATGGGTTAATCAAAATGTGAGAATTAGCTCATAAGAGGCTGGAGATAATGGGCCAGGCAGTGTTTAAATGAATACAATTTGTGTGTTGTTATTTTGGGTGTAAAGCTAGCCATGTGGGAGCTGGGCGGGATGAAAAGCAGGCCTGCTTGCCTCATCACTACACCCTCATCTATTGTGAAATCATACAGAAACCTAACTCCCTCCACTGTTATAGTGCTTTCCATTTTTTAATGTGGGGGGAAACTCTCTTCTTTTTAAAACACTAAAATTCCTAATTCCTTTAAAAATTCACAATTGCCAGGGTGCTGAAGAGATGGCTCAGGAGTTAAGAGTACTGCCTCTTATTCCACAGGACCTGGGTTAAATTCCAGCACCCATATGGCAGCTTACAACTGTCTGCAACTACAGTTCTGGGGGATCTGACACCTTCACACCAATGTACATAAAATAAAGTTAAATAAATTTTTTAAAAATTCCCCATTGTCTTACCAAATCTGCTGACAATGATGGCGCTGTGTGAGGCTGACTGCGGTCTGACAGGGAACACAGGTGGTGCAGCTGCTAGAGTGCAGCTGTGAGCAGATGTGTGTGGTGGTTGCCGCCACAGTGGAGGCCTGAGTAGGTGTTAAGGCAGATACCTGGTATGGCAAAAACCCAAAGAGGGAGTTCAGGGGAGGCCTAAAACCCATGGAGAGAGGGAACCAGTTGTCTGAAAAGCACATAGGGGGTGGTGTAGCAGGAGCTGCCCTAAGGTAGAGCTGGCCAGTGGGGAGGGGCTGACTCTGGAGGTGTTTGGAGCCCAAGTGCCTGTGGAGATTGCTGTAGAGAAAAATCCCAGACTTGCTCAGAGGGCTTGGGGAAGAAAAGGAAAACCTAGCTGGTGGTGCAGTGACTCTGGGGGTGCTGCTCCTGTGTGTAGCTTCCACCTGCCTGTGCCGGTGGTTGCAAAAGCTACTAGCAAGCAGCTATTTTATAAATTTGTGCCCCAGAAGTTGGATGCCAAATGAAGAGTAAATCTAATTCATCTTATCACCAAAAACCTGAGGGATCAGAGAAGCCATGGAGAAGCCACCAGTGTCTTCCTACTTCTTCCATTCCTTCATAAAAAAGGACCAAGATCCTGTCTACACCCCACTTTATCACTTCCTGTCTCCTCTCTCTGTACAGACCTCTAGACCTCTATGGCTAACTAGTGGCTAGCTCTGCCCTCTGACTCCAAGCAAGTTTTATTTGTAAGAACACAACGAAAGGATCACACAACACACACACACACACATACACAGACATGTATACAGACATACACATAGACACAGACAGGTACATACATACAGAGATATACACATATACACACTGACATATACATACACACACAGACACCAATACCCACAAATAGTTTAAAAAATTAGCCAGGTATGGTGCACATCTTTAATCCCAGAACTAAGGAGGTAGAGGCAGGTGCTTCTCTGTGAGTTTGAGGCCAGCCTGGTCAACAAGATGAAATCCTTTCTCAAAAATCAATAAGTAACAACAAAAATTCAGGAGCTGGAGAGATGGCTCAGCAGCTAAGAACACTGGCTGTTCTCCCAGAAGACCCAGGTTTGATTCCCAGCACCCACCTGACAGCTCACACCTGTCTGTAACTCCAGTCCCAGAGGACCTGAAGCTCTTTGGGCTCCCTTACATTTACCCATTCCCACGCCATTCCATGCACACAGTTCTAGGGATGGAACCCAGGGCCTTGGTGCTACTGGGCTGTCTTCCTTGAGCCCCCCCCACCCACCCAGGTTCCTTTCACTGACTATTCAGAGACAGGCTAGCCTAAATCGTCCAATCTTCCCACACCACACCAGGTGTCTGTGGTGCCGAAGGTGACCCAGGCTTCACCAGCTTGGTCAGGTCTCTGCACACTGACCTCTAGTCAAAGTTCAGCAGTTGTTTTTTTGCAAATATTTCTTAAATTTCCCCACTTTGCTTTTTACTATTTTGCAGCAAACAAGTCCCTTTTGGGTAGGACAAGTCCAGTATCTGGGGCAGTTATGTCTCCTTTGCTAACAGTATCCTTGAATATTTAAACTGGGATGCTCCGATGGCAGTGTTGTGACATGTCTCCTCATCACTTGAGAGGCTGAGGCACGATATTTCTTGTTCAGAGACAGGTCTGAATATATAGCCCAAGCTGGCTGTAAACTCACGGCAAACAAGTGCCTTGCTGAACTCTAGTCAGGGTTCAGGGTCAGAGAACCGAAGTCCCTAGGACACACTCAGCAACACAGAAAAGTCATCGCATGGGAGTGATCAGAGATGCCACTAGCCATGGCACCATGCACAGCACACTTCCCAGCACGCATTTAACTAAGCTCAGCTGCCAGCAGCTTTTGGATGCATTGTGGAACTGGTTTCAGATTGCACGAGAAACTTGGGTTTTATACATGCCCAAGACCCTGGTTCCACACCCAGCCCTGGGTTTTAGTGACGTGCTTGGAAAAGATGTGTCAAGTTTGATTTCTACCATGAGGCTGGAGAGCACGCCTCGGCTCCAACATGAACCATCCCCGCCCCAGCCCTAGCTGCATCTCATCCTGGTTACGCAGTCTCACTGGCACGCTTGCTGAGCTCTGCTCACAGAGGCCACCGCCGCCAGCATCAACAACAGCATCTTGTCTGTTCGTCTGCAGCTTACACCGGTTTCCCAACTGCCAAGGAGCTCGAGGAAGAGTCTGAACATGCGCACTGAACTTAAGGGTAGGCCATTTCGCGCCCCACCCCCAGTTTGTGCATGCGCACCTGGTGTGAAGGCCCCTATCAGGATCTTTTGGACCTGCGCAACAAAATCCCTGAAAAAGGCCCAAAGGGTCTACGCAGAGGCAAGTGGAAGGAGAGAGCATGAGCAATATGGAGGAAGAGCATGCACATTTTAAATCTGAAAGTTAGTACCCAGGCTACCAGCTCCGTAAGTCAGATTCGTGAGCATGCACGAATGAATTTGAGGAAGTCTGCATAGAATGTGCATTCCGAGAGGCGGTTGTACAACCAGGGTTTTGGGCATGCATAAAATCTACCAGCTGCTTTACAGATCTTGAGTATACGCACTGGATCGCTTGTCGCTTGGGATGCTCCCTAGAAGTTTCAGTGTTTTTGTAAGTGCCCTATGGATGTCTGTCCACACAGGCATGAATGCGTGCACAAGACCTGTCATGTGCCAACTACAAAGAGAGGCCAAATCTCTCCACAGGTGAAGATGGTGGAACCCGTTGTTGTGTATCAGCAATGCACGAGAATAAGAAGAAAATTTTAAAGCAGGGGTGCTCTGTGTCAGCCCCATCCCATCCTACCCCTTCAAGACCTGTGGCTCTGGTCCCCACCTTTCAAAGCCCCGACCTTTGAGTCGTCCTTCGATCCCGCCCCTGCTTCCAGTTCCTCCAAGCCCCGCCCTGTAGGGCGTTCCTCATCGGGACCACACACCACTTCCGCCCCCTTCAAGTCATTCTTCCTCCGGGGTTCTGTGACGCGTCTGCCTTTTTGTCCACCTCCTCCAAAACCGCTCTCTAGAACGGCCTCCGTCGAGCCCCGCCCCCATCTCGCCCATGTGCAAGCCCCGCCCCCGCCGTGGACCACGCCCCCGCCCCAGGTCTTCCCTTCCCAGCCTCCGGTCGGCTCCCTGGCTACGCCCACCTCCTCCAAGGCCCGCCCCGCCGTGGACCGCGCCCACCTCCTGCCAGCCCGGCTCCCAGACTGAAACACGTGCGTCGTCACGTGCGCAGCCGGAGGACTCGCAGAGATGACGTGAGCGCGGTGCGCCTTCAGTATGGCCGTTCCATGGCGGCGAGCACAGGCTACGTGCGGCTGTGGGCCGCTGCGCGGTGCTGGGCGCTGCGGCGGCCGCTGCTGGCCGTCACTGGAGGCCGCGTCCCGAGTGCGTCCGGTTCCTG